GTTTTTCTTACTAAGCTGTTTGCCCACAAGTTGCACCGAGCCTGGAGCATTTTTTTGCTTCTGCATCCTTAAGCCCTGAGCGTCACAAACAGTCCTCCGTGTGAAGTAGGGTAGCTTCCAACTGTGCCATCACTGTGAGCACGGCCAATCTGAGAACCAGACATGGGTGAGAAACGAGAAAAGGCTCATTTTTTTTCATGAGAAAAACTGCTGGCTGGGAATGCAGCGACTTCCTAGAAAGGGCTCGGTCTGAAGGTACAGAAGTTATTACGCTGAGCAGCATCCTGAATCTGCTAAGAAAGATTCTGCTTCTGTCATGTAGGTTATGTCCCTTTTGGTTTTCTCCTATTGCAGTGTGACTCTCCCAGGCAGTCTAGCTGATTTTGTTAAGAGTGTGGAAACCCAAGTGTTGCTCTCTTTATGTATTTCCCTGGCCCATAAACTGGAATATGCACAGAATTCATTGTGGTTGATATCTTCAGCTCTTACTGCTGATCACTCTTCACACAGCTGGGTTGTGCAAGCTCGTATAAGCCAGAAATACTTGTTAAATTTGTTAAGCCAGTAAGACTTGTCAGGAAAATACTTGGGCTGAGTTTATAGCCAAATATGCCAGGAGGTCCAGGAGGATACGCTGTTACAGGACCCTGCACACATTGTAAGACTCAGTGTCGTGGCATGGCTGACAAGGCCAACTCTCTGTGGCTTTGGTTTCCATCGGTGAGTACCAGCTTTAGCCTGAAAGTCCTATCTTGTGCTTGTCCGAGCTTTGCACTTTCATCCTGGACTGGYCCACCAGTGCCAAAGCAAAGCATAAATATATATGTATAGTGCAAGAAACAGTGTTAAGAGTATCTACATCTGGTCAGTGAAGCATGTTTGTGGTTTAGGCAGTGGTAGATCAGATGGTGCGTATATAACTCTCTTTTTTCTTCCTATGCATTTTTTTCTGTTGTATTTATCTATGATTTTGCCTTTTAAACCAGCCTTCTAGTCTCAAATCAGCTTAAATACCACAGATTGTAAAGTGAAAGAATCATATTAGCCCCTAGGTGATCCTCCTTTGGATGTGTGGAGGTGCTGTAGCAACATAATGCCTTAGTATATCCTTTAAAGGCTCAGATCTACCTGAGATGCATCTGCATTATGCACAGTGAAGTAATGCAATGTTTTCTGTGCTCAAAGTTTTGCGTTTTAAAATTGATTTCTTGGAAATAAACTTTTAGCTTGTTTCTTTGAATAAAAAATAGGAAACCTCAAAAGGAACAGAAGATATATAAGTTTGGTTGCAGTACACTTCCCTTTCCTTGGGAATCACCTTGAGGTTGGAAGAGATGTCTAGAGAGCTTGCTGCACAAGCAGGGTCACCAGAGCTTGTTGCCCTGCACTGCATCCAGGCAGGTCTTCAATAACTCCAGAGAAGGAGATTCCTCCTCCATAGAACCTCCATAGAAGCCAAGAAGTTTTACCTCAAATTCAGGCGGACCTTCGTGTGCTTCAGTTTGTAGCTGTTGCCTCTTGACCTACCCAGCACCCCTTGAGAAGAGCCTGGCCCCCTCCTCTTGACACCCTTCTCTAAGGTATTTATACATATTGCTAAGATCCCCTCTCAGCCTTCTCTTCTTTAGGCTGAACAGGCTCAGTTCTCTTAGCCTCTCCTCCCAGGACAGATGTCCCAGTGCCCTGATCATCTTTGTAGCTCCATGCTGGACGCTCTGCAGCAGCTCCATGTCCTTCTTGTACTGGGGACTCCAGAACGGGATAATCTAAATAGATTATCATGTAATTATGCTTACTAATAGGAAGGATTTSTAAAGCAATGTTCTTCGCTTAACCAAAGCGAAGTTTAATCCTTTTATGTCAAACACGCCATTGCCTCTGCCTTGAACCAAAAGAAATAGATCAGAAATGAAACCGTGCTTCTGAACAAATTGAGTGTATTGCACAAAGTAGATAATCTCTTCCCTTCCTAACTGGGAAGGTTCCTAACTTCCAGGAACCTACTGTGATGATTGCTAAATGTATGTTGTCTCTAAAGTTTAACAAAGATGACTATGTAACTGCATGACACTAAGAAAATCTCATGGCCTCAGATTCTTAGTCAGAGCTGTGCTTAATCAGAATTCTTTTATTTTTTTTCTTTTGGAAAGCAAAACTAAAATGTTTCTAGAGAGGAAAAAATTCAGAAAGAAACAGAAATGCAGAAGAAATAATTCTGTGGTGGGGAATAGCCAAAAGGGTACAGTGTGAGAAAAGCAAACCATCCTCAGAAAAGAGAACTGCTCTTGTCCTTGTACTTCTCTTGAGGAAAAAAAAAAAAAAAAATTGGGTTTCATCTTCCACTTTCTGCAAGCAGCACAGAAACTAATTCTCTGACAAAGAGGTTTAGGAGGTGGCTTCCTGAGACACAGTGGTAGCAAGTCATCACTATCTACTGCCACTTCAGGTGCCATTGGTATTCTGGCTGCTCTTGGACTGCCACTCCACAACGACATGGGTCTCCCCTCACAAAACCAGTGTTGTATTTGCCAGTCCTGTGTGGCAGGCAGATCCCCTAAGATTTCTACAACGGCACCAGGCCCTCTTTTAGGCACACAAATCCCACTCACAACCTTTTAGAGATGGTTTGTTTCAGCAGGTTTCAGATTTGGAAACCAAGAAGGTTGAGAAAAATATCAATATGCATATCCATAGTTGAATACCAACCTCAAAATCTGTCATTTTCCTCAGTTAAGTAAGATTGCTCTGATACTGTTTGATCTCCATAATGCATTAAAGACCTTCCAGCTCTTGAAATAAGAAAGGAAGTTACATGTATCATGATCACAGATGATTATTACTTCCTTTTCTGTAATTCAATTATTACCAAGTCTACCACGAATCACTGTTCATTCCAGTGCCTTTTGCTTTCACTAGTGCCTTCTCTCAATTTTGCTGACTATTTTACTGCCCTTATTCCATTTTCCTTAAAAGCTTCCTCTGTTTAGAGTACTGAACTGATAACTTCCTTCCCCAACTTGAGTTTTTCTTCTTCATTCCCATCAAAGTYTTCTTTATATTGCAATTCTACTTCAGCATGTTTCTCTCTTTTTGAGCTTCACTGCTTCTCCCCTTTCAACTCTTTCAGGATCATGTTGCTCATTTGTTTCATTCCCTGTTCTGCCTGTCCTACTCTGCTGCTCTTTTTTTTTGCTGCTGCTCCCCGCAGAATCTGCTTTCCACACCTTCTCTTCCTAATTCTCTTCCTATTGTACTTCCTGACACTGGTGGGTTCCCTCCATCCAAATCCATCCACTTTCCCTTGCCAAATGTCCTCTGYTTGCATTTCGGTGTTGTCTCAAATCTTATCACCTGTTCCCTGAAGCTACATCACAGCTTCTGAGGAATGTAAATGAAACTGAAATGTGATGACTTAAGAATTGGTGGCCAATATTGCATCTGGCATGGGAAGGAAAAGGAGAGAGCAGAGCAAAGATCAATTTACTGCTCCTAATATTGCTGAAGAGGAGGCTGATCAGGCTGCTGGTGTTGTTTGCTGCTGAAGGGCTTTGCCAACCACCCTCATATCTCTTCGAGTCCTTTCTCAAGGGTTTCTTGTCATCAGAGGAGTGCTCTACTCCTGTTTCACCTCCAGTTAGGAGGTGAAACATGTTTCCCATTTCCTTTTGCATAACTTTAAGGTTCAAGCCTGCAAGATCTACTTAATTTGCTTCTATTTTTTGTGAATACAGATGGAAAGGGAAAAAAAGGGGAAAAAAAATCGTTCCTTGACTTCTGTGGGGCTCATCAGCAAAACTTGATCCTGAAATGGCAGCATATCTGCCTGGTGCTCTTGGCATAATGAGTTAAGCAGCTGCAACGGTGTCAGATGGTGAACTTGAAGAACCGAAATTGCAGGGCCTCACAGGCCTTGGGCCAGGGAACATTACTGACACTGTTTAGCAACAGGGAAATCATGACATTTCCTGATGACTTTGTAGCTCAGGGAGACTGGGTATCAGAGCTGAGAGGTTAAGGTGCAATGTGCAGGTTTTGCAATCAGGAAGTCCCATGCCAGTGTGAGCACTCGCGACTCGGATCTCCATTCTGGCCTCAGAAGGGAGCTCTGCTGCCGCAGTCCCAAACCCGTTCCCCCTCTCCTAGGGACTCTTCTCTCCTGCCACCTCTGTCCCTGACTTTTCCCACCTGAACCCAAACTGCAATTATTCTGCTCTGTCAGTGTTTATTTTCTTCTTCTGATCCTCTGCTTCCAACAGGGAAAGTCTTAAATGGCTGGGATAGCATCTTCCTTGGTGCATTTCCTCCATCAGGATGCAGCAGTTCTACATATGGCAGTTTCTGGCCGTCTGGAATTGACAGTTTTTTTCCAGAGCTGGCAAAAGGCACTATCTGACCCTCTTCTCCTTCCTGCTACCTTTTCACATCATGACATGGTGACTTCTTGATAAAATAGATGTACTTTAAAAATAACAGGCAGGAAGAAGAAATGCCCTGTTTTGGAAAAAACTCATTCTCAAATATTGCTGACTAACTTTCCCTGAAACTTGAAAAATAAGTGTCCACACATAAATCCCATCTAAGAGGTGTGTTAGAAGGTGAACCTGGCAAGAAAAATAATGAAACAAGTGACATGTTTTTTTTTTTTTTCAAATCAATGACCCTGTGTGAAAGACTTGGAGGAACTTTAAATGTCAACTCTGTTGTTAGAATGTGAAAAAAAAAGACAAAAAAGGCCTCTCCTTTTGATGTGGACTGTGACCATTGGACAAAAAACATTTCCCCTTTCCTTCCTCATCTGCATTCATGGGCTTTTAGTACAGACCGTTAGCTGACTGTCTTACTGAAAGGTCAGTAATACCAACACAGATCAACTCATGTCTGTACCTGGCACCTCCAACTTCAATTATCTCTAGACACCTGCATTTGGAATAAGTCTTCTCATGCTAGACTTCTGACCTGGAATTGGTTTGAAAGCCAGGAGACCTTGATTTTATTTGTCCATGGAGTTGCCATTTTTTCACGGAAAGATAACAAGAAGAACTTGTGAAGAACTGCTGACCAAGAAAGGAAAGAATGGTAGCTTCTTAATACGAGAGAGTGAAACTGTAGCGGGAGCCTTGTGTCTGTGTGTTCTGTAAGTACTCCAATATTATTTTTTAATGAGTTTTAAAATAGATGCCGAGACAAGAGTTCAACTTTCCTACTGTTCACACTTCTTCCTTCATATTAAAAGACTCAACATATGTGGGCATGTTTTCCACCAATGCTTTTTGCCTTAGGCTTTCTTTATAGTGTATAGAGGAGGACAAGTTTTTGCGAAAAGACAGTTTATAAAACAGAAGAAGGACAAACCATTCTCTGCTGAGGCTGGTGTCTCTTTGCAGACAATAAGGGGAGCTCAGAGGAAACAGCTTAGCATGACAAAATACAGTGGTAAGAACCTCACTCAAAGCTGACCAGTATTGCATTCGTAATAATGAATAACTAGCATTTTAGCAGTATTTAGGCACTAAAAATATTTCATGGTAGGATATGAAACAGTTCCTTTATGAAGCAATTCCTTCTTCATATGCTTTATGATTTCATATGCTTATGACTATGTAAYGAAAGGCTGACCTCCTGCTTGTATCGAAGTTTATCCATAGCAAGAAGCTATAGAGTATACAGAAAACTATAACCTCCCGTCCAAATTCATACAAGCCTATGAACAAGCTGGCCATAGAAAACTAGTATTTATAATCCTTAATTTTATTCACTGAGGTTAAAAAATATGTTTTTCTTGTCCTATATGGCATAGCACTTTTATTTCCTAGATGCCTGTTTTACACTATTCATATATAATCAACCTGTTCCTGAAGAGTTCAGAGTTTATAAAATGGAATGTCTGTTTTTTTTTTTGTTTTTTTTTTTTGGTCTGGCCACATTTCACATTCGCATTCTTGTATTTGAGTGTGAGATGAAAGTTTTTTAGCACTTTAATCATCAAAAATATCAGAACATGTTCTGATGAGTAATCAAAATCTCAGGACTTTTGCTACAAATCATAAGACAGAAAGAAAAATGATGGGAAAAGTACAGTGCTCTAGGGTTTGTGGACATATGGATTATTGTATGGAGAGAAGCAGCAAGTAGGGACAAACTGAGACTACTGTGAAAAGCATGGATAAGAAATGAAAATATTCCTCCCTGACATGGGAGGAAGGTTACTGGACTCTGGTTGATGAGGGACTGAAAAGGTACTTAGGTGTGTGTAATTAGTTTAATCTACTTAAGCATTAGAAGGCACATCCACACAAACCCCAGCCTACGCTGGCCACACTCTGTGCTGAGATAAAGCTTAAGCTTGGTGTCGCCCAATGGYACGTGCTGCTTGCTTGCTGGTTGTATTTTTTCCTAAGAAACTGGAGAAATGCTCAGGCAGGAAGCTCATGTGGAGGTCCATAAGCCAGGTGGGCAAGGTTAAGCAGCATCCACACTAAGCGACGTGCAATGGTTGCAGCTGGTATCTACTGTAGCTGTCTTAACTCTGCAGGGCAAAAAAAGAGATGTGCTTTGGTTTCAAAGCTAAGCAAATSTAAACGGGGGTACAGAGGATTAAATATGTGGTAGGTGTGATATAGTAACATTTCAGTTTCTGAGGCTTAACACCACACTTAATTTTAGCAAGTGGTCAAACATATATAGTAGAATTTAAAGTATTTTGAAGGCTCTATTATATGAATAAAGTGGAAAAATGAATGCATGCTCGAAGTTCAAAATTACATTCTTTCACGACAGTCTTGAAAGACAAATAGTTATAAAATGTCCATAGGYACAATTTGCATGCTCTTAGTGGAAAATATCTTTCGGGATACACTTTAAAGAGCTGGTGAGTTTTCGCTTTTGTTAAACTAGGATGTAAACTTGCCACTGACTTTTCTTCTTAAGCTGTCCCACAGAGCAGTTAAATGCCCAAGTATTTTCTAACCTAGCTATTTTTACAAGTGATATTCTGGCATGGAGTGGATGGTATTCAGCACTAGGCATTCCTGAGATTTGTTTCTTTGGCTTCAATCTCTCACTGCATTGCAATTTACTGTAAAAAAAACCAACCAGCCAAAAAAGAACCAAACTTTTCTGCCAGATTCAGCTGTAACAGTCTATGTTAGTTGCAGTAATCAATAAAAGCATAACATATGAAATGATGTTTTTTACAGCTTTGAAGAAATCATCTATACTTATCGCATCTTCAGGGAACACCAAGGGTATTTCAGAATACAGGTGAGTAACTCATTTCATCTCTAAAGATTGTACTTAAAAAAATTCTAGTTAAAATACAGACAAGCACATTACTGTAGAAAATATTTACAAGTTTGCTTTTGACCCTTATTAATCCTTGACTATTTAATGCCGTACTTATTGTTGCAGATGAGCTCAGAAGTAAACTATTACCTATGCAGAAATCCCTTGTAATTTAAGAGGATCTCYTACTTATTCAACAAATATTTCGTGGTTTGACTATTTCTTTGATATTATTGAAAAAAACTGTAACTTTCATTACCTGCTCCTTTAGGTTTTTCCTTTTTTTTTTTGTTTTTTTGTTTTTTGAACGCTCTGCTTTTGTGCTCAACATCTTATAGGGGCTTCTGAATATGAGAATGATCTTTTTGATTAAAACACATATATAGAGAGTTGTGAGATTCTGAGGCAACTGAAGTGACAAGCCCAGATAATGCTGCTCATTGCTGGAAAACAAGCATGAGAGCAGATTCCATCCGTCAAATCCCTGCACAAACCAAGCTTGAATCTAGAGGTAAGGTGAGGAGACACTTCAAAATGCCAGCTCCTCCTGGGACAACAGGATGATTTACTGATACACAGAAAAAATATTTTGGATTATAGCCACCTTTCTGCTCTTGCGCCTATCAGCAGCTAATAACTCAAACACTTCCAGKTTTTTTTTTCAAATCCAATTTTCCTTCCAGAGTTCTGTCGAGAATATGGAAGAAAACTCTGTTCTTTCAAGACTGTAAAGCTAGATTATTTCAGCTTACCGAAATAATATCTTGAAATAATATTCTGATGGCACTGTTTGTTTTTTTATGGCAGATACAGTCATGAACTTTGTAAAAGCAGTGGCATCCAGTCTGTGCAGAGATGAATGGAAGATAAAGGATGTATAAACCCCTCAGAAAGGTCTTTTGCTAGATAGCAAATGAAATGAAACTAAAGCCCTGTTCTCTTTGAATGCTTTTAAGTAATGGAAGTGGGACTTCGACTGCAACAGGAGCTGATTAATGTGCTTATTGTCTGTCACTGTCCTAAAGCATCAGAGCTGCAAGCACCTCTGTACAGATTACTCAAGATCTCCGCTGCTGGAAAAACAGTTTAAGGGACTCAGATCTAGGCTTGCAAAATWAATTTTGGTCAGCTCATTGACATCAGAGAGAGATACGATTCCTTACAACTTTGCATTGTATGCTAAGGCTTCAGAATACATATTTACACATTGAACCTATTTTGCTTATTCTCATCAACTTCTGATTATTTCGAGGGGGTTAGGGTTTGGGGTTTTTTTTCTGTTTTTTTAAAGTCCTGTTAGAAAAAAAAAAAGATGGCATCTGTGTTCAGGTGGTCTAGCAGGACAGAAACATCGTAAAATCCTAGATCTAGGATCCTAGGTCCTAATCCTAGATCCCTGGTCAAGGATTCCTGAAGGGAGGAACTAGGAATGCTGCAAAGCAAAAAGGGGTTGGCTACAGCCAACAGTAGTGAGAGGACTGAGGGAAATAATCTTTTTTCCTGCTAAAGTGGGAAGTTTGTGATCCCAGTGAAGGCATGGAGCATTAAACAGCTTCCTCCTGGCTGCAGTGCTCTTGACCTGGGATGCTGGAGGGAGGTTACACCTAGTGCCATTACCACGCCACCAAACGGATGTCCCTGCTTTGTAAGACTGGCACAATATTCCCATCAACAATCTGTTTAGAAAATAGCCCCTTGGTAAAGAATAAGCTATGTACAGTTCCTCTCATTTAAGGCAGCTCCTATGAAATAYTACTGCAAACACACACTTTCTTCTTCCATCCCTGCAGACTTCGGAAGGTGTTCCGGAGAAGACCTTCAAAACTTTAAAGGATTTAATATACACCTACGAAAAGCCAAACCAAGGACTAGTAACAAACCTCCGCTACCCAGTCTTGAAGCCGAAGCCCCCCCAAAGAAGCGCAAGGTTCAMGTCAGATGCAGATGACATCTATAACGGTAAGAAAATGGGATTTTAAAGGTCTGTGGTGAACAGCTATCAATTCTGCGAGCACAGCTTGCATGGACAGCAGTTCCAGCCCCTTGCCTCTATTCCTTCAGCTCCCTCTCAGTCCTCACAGGCTCTMCATTCAATCATATGTCAGAACAGGGCAATAGTTGGGAACTGAGCCTTTTTGAGACTGCTAAAGCTTAAAGCTGAGACTGTAAAGCTTAAAGCTAGTGCTGTGGAGCACTAAAGCTCCTGCCACAGACACCAGCACCGCAGAAAGCTGATACATGGAAACTGCGTAAAAATAATGTTACTTGGTAAAAAGAGACAGGGGAAAGAGAGGTTCTCATCCAAACTTGCCTAGGAGAAAGGGCTAAATAATCTGCACTCCTTGCTCTTATTCAGATTCCTAGTGAAGRTTCCTTTCCTTGGTGCTGTTAGCATGGGCTGGCTTTGAACATCATCGAAGGAATACCTGAATCATATAGTATTTTGATTTTATTTTTCTCTTTCATTAAAAGTCAACACAAAGATATAGTTATCAGAAATCCATTGGTAATCTCTACTGARAGCACTTTTGCTATAAAAACCTGCTGTCAATTTGAAGAAATAAGGATTTGACATATAATTTTTTTTTATTAAAAAGGCTTATCCCTACGGCAGACGATTAAAATTGCCCAGCTGAACAAAGATTCTGGCTGAAAATACTATTAGGTTGCTATCTGATTTTTTTCTATAGAAATATAGAAATTTCCATATTCCCTCTAAAGAAGCAGAGAAAAGTAGTATTTTGTTAATGCTGAAACATTTTGCACATTTTTATTTTACATTTCGCACCTTGTACCAAACTCCGTTTCTGTTTTATAAAGATCGGAATCATAATGCAACATTTCAGTCTTACTGACGTACAGCCTGAATTCAAGTTAACATTTCTTGCATTTTTATTTTATGGTAATTTCAGTATTGGCAATAATGTCACTGAGGACCAAAAAAATGGATTCACAGCCTTTCCTGTGGAGGACAAAAGGGCTCATTTTTGCTTAGATTTAGTTCACATGTATTATTTTTCATTTGTTCAYGGGAAACCATTCATTCCCAGCTCACAGGCAATATATCATATTCTACAGAATATATATGTTCTATATTTTCTGTAATTATATAATTCYAAATATTTCTATATTTCTGTATTCTGCATGTACCTATCCTCACCCACTAGAAATCAACAAGTTAAAATTTAAAGAGATACAAGAATGCAAAGCATGATGCTGTCTGTTATCTCAGTCCTGAATACTGATGGTACCAGCCTGGTAAAGGCAGAAGACAGTTTCATCGGATGTGGTTCTTCACRGATACCTCCCTGTACTGCAGGGAGGTTTGAGGCTGGCCCTTACTTTTACTGCTCAGTTTGAAACATGTTTTGATACCAAATCTAACTTAGGTAGCTTCGGGATAGTAGGAGATTAAAAAAAAAATACCAACCAACTGGTGGTTTCTTGTGTTTTGTGTTAAAACATCAATAATCTTCTAAATTAACATGTTGAAAATAAAGGGCATATAGTGCTCATRAAGGTAACTTTGAAACTATATGGTGCCCATAGGCTAACTTGGAGGTTAGATGGAGGTGGAGGAGGCATAACATGGTTTACAGTGAGGTCCCCCTTATGTCCTCAGTTTGGGAAGAATGAGTAGAGATGCTAGTGGTCACTTCCCAGCATCCCTCCCACATAAGAAACCATTTTCGTATTACTGTTGAATGTTGTTTGGCTGCAGAATTCATCAGTCACAAGCTGTCACAAAACAACCTTGAAACTGTCTTCTCCTAGAGCCTCTGTCTGAAAGACTAAATGTACCTACCAGCCAAAGTGGGAGAACGCATGAGGGAGGGAAATTCTTGCATTAAAYACAGTTATTACAAAACAGAGTATGGTTAGAGTTTCTATAGTCTTATGGGTGAATTACATTTTGAAACTAATCCTAGATAAAACAAGCTAGTTGAGGCTGGCCTCCTTGTGCTGCAATCCCTCTAGATATGCCACACTTGCTCTTAAAAAGTTTTATGCTAACTTGTCAAGAGAGATGTAAAATATTGCAGCCACGATAGACACAGTTTTAGCCAAAAAAAATCAAAAATACATTTAATTCTATGATCCTTGGTCAACTTTTCCAGAAGATGTACAGGATCCTGGGCTAGAATGGTAGGGGCAACACAAAACTTTTCCTTAACCATCAAAATGTTTGTTGTTGTCATAAAAACAGGGGCCCTTAAAAATAATCAAAGTAGTTTTGAACTCTTGCTATTCCACTTCAATTGAAATTTCACCTCACAGTAGTCCACCGTATAGTCCTCAGACTGCTTGGTTTCACAGAGGGAACTAAGGAGAGTATCACGATGGACATCTTGCCGCAAACAGGTTGTTAAAAGAAGCACTTTTTCTGGTGTGGTCCCTTGTGCCACCAGCCRCTGGCACTGTGCCATGTTCCAGATTGAGCGTGTCAGTGTCCTCGCTGGAACATCTCACAGCACTTGGGTCACAGTGCTCGTCAGCAGCCAGTTTGGGCCWATCTCTTCTAGCCCAGGAGGGGCTTGGCTGCAGGAGGTTACTTCACGAGACAGTGGGTTTCCACAGTGTGACACAGTCCTAGGCGTTCAACTTCTGCCTTTCCCCAAGCTCTCAAAAATACTAACTCTGAAAGGACCTAAGAAGGCTTTTCAAGCTCCCCCGTCTAGCCGACTTCCCTGTTGGAAATATTTAAAAGAATGTGCTATCTTATAATCTCAGCAATCTGAACTGCTGCTATGATTTACTGACTACAGATGATTTATAGCATTTGACTTTCTCATGAAAATCAATTCTTATATTGTTACAGCTTTTTAAATACTAAGCTTGCTGGTTCAGGAAAGAAAACACAGGTTCCTCCTCTAATGGTCTGGAGGAGCCAGTTCATAAGACACTGGACATAATGTTGGCCTGCCATAGCAGCGGGAACACAGAGGAGCCAAACTGAGTTAATAAGAGCCTAGCAACATGCCATCCTGCTTATAGTGGTCTTTCTTGCAAGGAATGACTTGCAATGACAAAAGCCTTTTGTGTTGACTTTCTTTTTTACAGAAATGGAAGAGGAGGATTATATTAATGTCCTACCTTGAACGATCTGCACCTGATGATTTGGAAGCTGCCCCTACAGACTGTTGTGCCACAACAGAAGAGATCAACTGGTGACACTTGCTAGGCAGGCATTCTCAGGTGTGCACCTAAACATCTGGAATTAATTCCTTTTGGAGCCTATCCGAGCAACTGTCTTTTGCTCCAGTAACCCCATACAAACTGTTTTTTTATAGCATGAAGAAAAACTATTTTTTTTTTTCTGACAGATACATGCATAGATGTATGCTTGTCTGTTTTGGATTTTAGTCAGCAAACTGTTCAGTGTGCTTCCTGCTAAAATGAACAACCTGTTAGAAAACAGCAATATAAGTATGATAAAGGAATGTATATAAAGTAGAATTAATGTGTAATGTGTATAGAGAAGAACTGATGTATAATTTATATAATGATACACATCATGATAAAAGTTCTATTGAAATTGTATAACAATGTTGCCTCAGTGCTCGTAAGCAGTGAGGCCATGAAATACCAGTAKGCCAGCTCACCTATAGATATGCCATGGAATACTAGTAGGAGCCTGTAGTTTGAAATAACCTAAATTAGAAAAAAAGTTCTAATGGTGATCCAAAAATACATGGTGAACACTTTCCACGCTATTTTTAGTTAATAGCTCTAGTAGTTATCTGCACTGGAAGAGTGAAGGCTTTACATGTGTGTGGTTATGAAAATATCATTTTGAGTATGTAATGTATACATGAGAATATTTAGCACTGTGATTGCTCGTATTGCTATGTGCATATTTTTTATTACTTTGTTGGAAGAATTTGCTTTGATCTAACCCCTCATTTTAAATAATTTTTGTTTACACTTTTACACTGAAAGCGATCTGCAACTAGGAGCCAAAGCCAGGAATGTAACTTATGTCCTGATTCCCCCTGTTACCCATATGTGATCTTATGGAAGATGAATAAATTTGCCCTGTGTTTAGTATCTCTCGTAAATTCTTTATGTATTCCGGTAATACTAGCTATGATTCTTTTTTTCTCTTTTTCTTCTTGTACATTTTTTTCACTAGTATTTGTTGCGGGAGTTTTAGATGCTGCAGTGCTTGGGACTTCACAGTGAACTTACACCACTAACAGCTCTGACGKCAGGCTTAATTGGTACTTGTAGCATGAAGGTGGCGGAAATTGGGAATATTAATTAACCCAGACATTGTCAAAATTACTAATGTATGTGTCTGAAATTTGTGAATTGGAAGGAAAGTAGTCTATGACAAATGGTACTGTTCAAGGAGAAAAATCGTGCTCCGTACAGGCGTAACGCATGGATGCCTCTCTCTGCCAGCACAACTCGGCAACCTGCGTGACYCTGGTCATCACACCAAGCCCCATCAGACTGAGCATCTGCTGGGCTGACACTCCTAAACTACACTCATTGGTTAACAATCTACATCTCTGCATGTTTTTATTATCACAGATTATTATAATAATTATAGTAATAATGGTCATTTCTTTTTTTAATGCAATGAGAGAAGCAGCTGTCATTCACGGGAGGCTGGACTAGATGATCTCTGGAGGTCCCTTCCAACCTTATGGATTCTATGATTCCGTGATCCTCACCTCAAGGGAGGGAGTGAGCAGGAGGGTGCCGGCATCTTTTCAGTGGTGGACAGCTACAGGAGTAGAGGAAACGGCCACAAGCTRAAGCACCRCAAGTTCCACRGGAACTGAAGGAAAAAATTGTTGACAGTGAGGGTGACAGAGCCCTGGCACAGGCTGCCCAGAGAGGTTGTGGAGTCGCCTTCTTTGGAGATCTTTAAAACCCGCTTGGACGCAGCCCTGTGCCACGTGCTCTAGGTGACCCTGCGTGAGCAGGAGGGTTGGACTMGATGACCTCTGAGGTCCCCTTCCAACCTTAACCATTCTATGATTCTATGTGATAGTCACCCACACGCATGTCCAACTTTACAGAAATGCTGGGTGACTGCAGGAGCTCTGCCACGTAATTGCCAACACACGAAACACACGGGGAGACCAACGAGGCACATACTGTGAAGGAACTGGTGCTCAAACCAGGGGACGAAGTGAACTGACTTTTTCCTCATAGGAAAATATTGTTTTAAATGTGGGGGTGGAGGGCTTAATATATACATTCCCAACTTTTTCACACACCTGGTACCATAAAAAAAAAAAAAAAAAAAAAAAAAAAAAAAAAAAAAAAAAAGCCAAGTTTCCATTTCCAAAAAGCACACACAAATGCCTCAGGCACCAGCCGACGCTTCCCCACCTCCCACTCGTGCGAGACGCGGGCTATTGCTGGACAGGCCACCGGACACCTGTAGCCTCCGCCCGTAACTTTCAGCCCCCTCAACACCGCTCCGGGCGGCGCCCAACGGTCACCTCTGTGGCGCCCAACGGCCGCTCGCTCCGCCCGCCCCAAAATGGCGGAGGCGGCGCCCCTCCCGCCATGCCCYACGCGGCGTAGGCGGGCGCTCCGCTCAGTGGGTGCTGCCCTCAAGATGGCGGCGCCGGCGGGAAATACGAGCGGGGAGTGAGCGGGGTTCGCGCTGCCCGGCCGCCATGGACGCCTCGGGCTGCATGAAGTCGCTGCTCCTGGCCGCCGCGCAGTACCGCGCCGCCAAGACGGCGCCCAACGCGGCGCTCCTGCAGCGCAGTCTGGAGGTGAGAGCGGCGCCGGTCCCCGCTGCGCGCGCGCGCCAACCGGCGCCTGCAACGGCCGCCGGTGTCGGTTAGCGAGCCCGGCCTGTCCGCGGCCTCCGCACCCTCCCAGCACTTCTTGTGTTTATGCTATATGTGTAGGTCTATTGATGCAAAGCGCAACTTGCAAGATATGTGTGTATGTTTTTTATTATTGTTTTAATTTTCTTATATACCCCTGAAACTGCCCCACAAATGCCAGTTGCTTTCACAACTTAAGAAAAAAAAAAGTTCAAAGGACACACTAGTCTTGCATATAGAGCTTGTCTGTTTCACACAATGTATATTCAAAGATGCTCAGGGCTAAGGAGATGTTTGGTTAACTAAAGTGCAGCTGTCTCGGTAGGCATGACTCTTATGGTGAAAAATAGCAGCATTGAAAGAAGATGCATCACCAAATCTGCTGGTGCCTCTGTCAAATACAGATGTTTTTTATTAAAATGTTAACAGAGCAATTATTATTCACCTTAGCTTAGTTGGGGGTAATTACTGTGAAGATGTGTACTAGGACCATACATAAATAACATTATACTGCTGTATTATGAATGTGCAACTTAGGTCTCCCGGTAGTGATGTGTGCCTGTGTCATTTCTGGCATCTTTATACATGTCTTCCATGAATTCATGATGCTTCTGTCTTACACTATAGAGTATTCACAAAGCAGCATTATATGTTATTGTTTATCTTCGTATAGAGTAATACTCTTGTATTCCAGTTCTCTTTTTGCAGAACGCCCTGTGAAGCTGACTGAAGGCTAATTATTATGTGCTCATGTTGAGCAGTGTTTGATTACTCCATCAGAATAGATAAGGCCTGTCTATTATCTGGTTGTGTGCGTATGCACACATATATATGTGCACACATATATATGTAAATAAATATGTATAAATAAAGAGTAAGCTGCTGGTATTAAGTCACTTTAATGTGTGGAGAAAGTATTGTTCTCCTGCAGCTATTAGTTTGAAAGAAGCTATACTCTGTTTTAAAAATAAAAGAGACCACACTGAAAACTGTGGCATGGCTTGTTTGTTTGTTTGTTTGTTTTGTTTTTGAAAGGAGTCTGAGCTAGAGACAGCAGCAAACATGAACATGAGTGTCCCATTAGAATGCCATTTGTATTCTATTTGTCAAATATGGCAAAAGATATTTAATTCTAATGCAACCATAGGCAGTGACTTTTGTATTAAATACTTTGTTGCCTTTAAGTAACTGTTCAAAAAGGAGGGGGGAGGGAAATGAGTGTCTGCATATATATATATATTTATAGATAGATATCTATATAAGTATATAAATATATATGTAAAAATAAAAATAGCACTTTTTTCTTCTTCTCTTCCTTTCCAGGTTATCTCTGGACTGAAGCTTACAAGATTATTTGCTTCAAACCAGATTCTACCAAGTGAATGTCTTATTTGCCTAGTAGAACTCCTTGAGGATGCTAATACAAACCCTTCTCTAGCCTTGTCTGTGGTTACTTTGCTATCACAACTAGGTAAGTTATGTTTATTAAATTTTTAGCTTAGATCTAAGATGGGAAGAGGTAGGTGTTGGGTCAGTGGTGTGTGAGCAACTTTCTACAAAGAGCATAAGCAGAGATTTCACACAAGTGTGACTTTATTGTCTAGGGAACTCTGTGCTACCATTACACACATACAGGCTACATATGTAGTGAAAGATTAACTATCTATTCACAATTATTTGTTTCACGCTATCCAGAGCATCCCATCATGTGCCAGTTGCTAAGGGAATGGAGTTCTTCAGGATGGCCTAACGGTTCTTGATTCTTAGTCTCTTTAGAGCTTCCTTTGAGTTCCTCCAAATAGTTATTGTGAGAATAGAGAGAATGTTACTGTTTCACCCTTGCTCTCATCTGTCAGAGGGGGCAGTTTTTAAAATTCAGTCTTCCTTCCACTGATCTACTGGTCTACTTTCTGTCATCCTTGTCAGCTCCTCCTTCCCTTGGCCTGCCTAGTCTACTTTCCCACCTGAGCATGAAGCAAGGAAGCTAAAATCATTGATATTAAGGTTTAAGTGTGCAGGACTTGAGCTCTCCAATAGACTTAGTAAGCAAGTGTGGGGACAGGCTGGGAGAGTGTTTCCTCAGTGTCCATACATCTTAAGGAAAAGATGGTGTTCCATTGATGTTACTTAGTGATACAGAGGTGCAAAGGTACAGGAACTGTGATTTATTTGTAGTGACTCGTGAAATATATTTGAAGAAACTTGTCCCAGGTTTGACCCTCCTGGCTTCTGCTTCCACTAATATAACTGTTACCTTTGCTATTGCACAGGATTTTTTAAAATTAATAATACTTTTGAATTCTAGCTTTAGACAACGAGGCTAGAGAAGCTCTTCAGGATACCTACAATCTGACCAGTGTGCTGGCAGGGCTGGTTCATCGAAGTTCTACTGATCTTAGTGATCCAGTCTTATTACAGGTAATTGGGACTCATACTTAATAATGCTTTATTATAATTGCACAGTAAATATTATACTGTACTTTATAAAGGTGCTACAAAACTATGAGTTTTATATACTGAGACTACCAGAGTTCAATGTTTGTTCTTTATTTAATCATGTTTGTACTTACATGTGGTAATTCACAAAAACAAGTGCTTTTTGAGACTAGAAGTATCTGCTTTAAGAAATAGCTGCCTGAGAGCTTGGAAGCTTATTTTCCAATTGATCTGAGATAAATTTAGTTATTTTACCTAATGTTGTCTTTAACAAAAGTCTGGAGATTGTTTCCCTAGTCAGCACATTTACAGGTGATTGCTGAACTGAAGGGTGGCTGTTGGTTCTCACAGAAGTTTTACTGGGCCTGTATGCCTCTCTTCCTATGGTCAGGGATATCTGACAGTGAGTGCAAGGAAAGGGCTCTGCTTCTGAAAGCTCTGTCTTTGGAGTCAGGTGCACACATTTTTTGGTCCTTCAGTAAAAGCACTATGTCTTAAGTCTTCACCAACTTTCATTTTTCTCTTCTGTTCATTGATCAGTAAACTTGGCGATAATTCTTCTGTTTTTAGTTATGTACAGGCCTTCTTATTACCTCTCTCTGAGCTTTCAGCGGGTACTTGTTGATTACTTTTCAGTAATAGCCTCTGATCACATCCTTTCTCTGAGGAGAGAAAACAGCAAATTAATTTGCCAGCAATTCAATTACCTTTTGTCTGTGGAAAATTCATTAAGCATCCAGTGAAGAATGCATTTCACATGTTCTAGGTATCTACTGGAGCACTAGGAATACCAGGGGACTTAAGGATTAATATGACCTGCCCTGTCATTGGGGGAGGTTTTGTAGACAAACTTTCTGCAAGAGATTACAAAACACTTTCTGGTTTTTGGTAAAGCTTCTAGGTGTTTCAATACAAGAAAGCCTCTTCTTCACCGATTGAACGGAGATGTTGCTGACCAAGGAATGGAGAGAATAGGATGGGCAAAAATGTAATTTCTCTGTAAAAATAAAACCATATTAATCTGTGTGTGCTTTTGATAAGTACATGCAGATAAATGTGGTAGGAAAGAACTAACAGTGCCTGCAGCTACTCATGCAGATATATTGCTAATACTCCAAAATGTGAAAATTAGCTTAGTTGTAGTGTCTTGCTGCTTTTTGTTTGTTAGTTCTAGCTGTAGAAAAATACCTTCTTCACTGTTCTTCYGTGATATGCTATAGGAAATATATATATGAATAATTCTTATTTCCTCAGAGTATTCAGCTGCTGCAGAGGCTAACCTACAATGTTCGAGTTTTTCATGCTGGTGCCAACATCGATGAATTAATTTCATTTCTAATGCATCGTGTGTAAGTGTATAGTAAGTGTGAGTGTATATGCAGTTGTCTATGCTTATCTAGCTAAGTTTCTATAGTTTCTCTAGAATGAACTGTGACATTTTTCTCTGAAGTTTCTAGAGGTTTTTCTTTTAAGACTCTGTCAAATGGAGTGATTATGGGACTTTCAGAGGCTGAGCTTGAATTGGTATCATAATCTCAACTCTCCAACCCAAAAATGGGGTCAGCAGTAAATTCATGCTTGCCATTACACCATCTCAAAAATATGATAACACAMATTTTGTGCAAAAAAAAAAAAAAGACCTGATGACTCTGAAAAGAACTTGCAGTAAAATCAAGACCTTATTTTTACTGCTAAGCTCAATTAAAAGCTGCCAACACTATGGGGGCTGCAAATCTCAATTTTGTTTTGCTTGGAGAATTAGTACCTTACACAAAACTACATATTTGTTTTAATTAAAATTCTGGATGCTTTAATATAAATACATTTGTTCATATTTGTGAGGCTTTTTTCTTTCTTTTTGGAAGTCAGTCCACTGAAGATGAGTTAACAATACCATGTTTAGGACTCCTGGCAAACCTCTGTCGTCACAACATATCTATTCAAACTCAGATCAAGTCTTCGGTAAGAACTTCGCATTTTTGGCGGTATGACTCTCTGGATTTAGAACAATAATGTTTAACTTCTGGAAGTTAACTTTGTATTTCTTGAGTACCTTTTTTTGTAGCAGTAACAATGCTGATGTGTTTGTCTTCAAGAACTGGTAGTTGTTTCTCCCAAGCTAGAGAAAAATGATCTATAGAAGAACAGGAAGTTTTTTGGKTTTTTTTGTTTGCTTTTCTTCAGGAAAATGCTGTTTTTGGAACTTTCGAATGATAGGTGAACTTCAGTTTGGAGCATCTCTTTCTCAGAAGTCTAAATGTCATCCTGAAGACTGGATGGATTTCTGCAAAACAGCAGTAACTTGKCCTGAGAAAGGGAGATCTCTTCTCCTGAAGATAAATCAGTAATTGTTACTGATCTTGATGCTAAGGCTCCAGAGTTTTCAAATACATATCCATATTTCTACTGCTTTGTTCCTGAGTCTTTGTTAATTAGGGCAAACAACTCATGATTGAGGAATACAAACTTATATATGTGGCAGGGAATGTTCTCACATGTTTTCTTGAAAGAAGGACAAAAAGGGGAAAACTGTTTTCAAATCTGATCACAGGGCTAAAAGGAGATTTCTCTCTTACTCTGTAGGAATATTTTAGCAAATATAATGGAATTTCTTTTAATTTTTCACTGATTGAATTCAAGAGAGAATATAGTCATTGACATCAGCACCTAAGTAACTGTACATTGGCAGAACACTTGCAGCTAGTACATACTTATAAATAACACAAATCATGAATAACAATACAAGAAACTTAGAATGATAAGTTCTCTGGAAAATCTATTCAAGTTTGGTGTATTTATTGAATGGAATAAAATTGGTAATGTTTCCATTTCTCTTCTCTGCTTCAGAGTAACGTGAAGAGTTTCTACCGTACCTTGATAAGTTTCCTGGCCCACAGTAGTTTGACTATGGTGGTGTTTGCACTTTCGATGTTGTCAAGCCTTACTTTAAATGAAGAAGTAGGAGAAAAAGTAAGTAATTCTTTGAAGTCTATTCTAATGTTAATTTACCTGAAATTAACAGCCACTGTGGCTGAAGCAGATTGTGATTCCAGCTAACTTTAATGAGACCTGCACACAGTATGTATATGTATTGTATGTAACTCTTCTTTATTTCAGCTTTTTCACGCTCGAAATATCCATCAGACTTTTCAGCTAATATTCAATATTGTTGTAAATGGAGATGGTACTCTAACAAGAAAATACTCTGTTGATCTACTTGTGGATCTTCTGAAGAACCCCAAAATTGCAGATTATCTTACTAGGTATATAAAAATGCAGGTTATTCTTCCTAAACTTTTGTTGGRCTATGTTTTATCTTTCTTCTGAACTGAAGTGTGGAAATTCTAGGTGCTTCTTGAATGCTATTAGTTGCTTRTAGCATCTTATACTGGGAACTAAAGGAGTTCTTGCATTACCAAYCTCATACAGAAGCAGAGTGGACTGGGCAATGTCGGTGGTCAGGCAACTCGATAAATGGCTTTGTTGCCGTTTCGCAGAGTAGTATTGTCCAAGTTGTAACAATTTCAGGGGAGAGCATTGCAGAATAGTTGCTTGGAATMCTTGACTAGCGATTTAGCAAATCCAGCCAATAGAATTTAGTTGCTCAATCTAGATATGAATATCTAATAGGGAAAACAGCTGRAAAAGTCCTGGTTTATTTTAAGGAATTTCCGATCACTTTTAGAGTRTGTTTTCGGTAAAGCCTTTGAATARAAATTGCATTATTGAATCTGAAAACTATAAAGACTGTCAAATCTGTACTTGAAGTATTTGGGGGTGAAAAGAGGAATATGGCATTTAATTTATCACTTGGTATAAATTTTATGTATAWTATAGATATGAGCACTTCACCTCATGCCTTGGGCAAGTATTAGATCTTCTTCATGGAAGGGATCCCGATTCATCAGCGAAGGTATTTATGCTTCTTCCACATAAAGCTAATTGCTGCTCTTTTTAAGTGCTCTTTTTTTTAAGTGCTCCTTATGCACTGGGATTGAAAATACATTGTACATCCCTTAATCTTTGAGTCAGCCTTGATCCACTATAAGTTTTTTCAGTTGTTCAAAATGCCCTCAGGCTTACTTTGCAGAGGTTTTGTCTGCTTTCAGACAACTGGCAAACAAAAGGCCATCATAAGCACCTTTTTTTTTTTGTTTGGCTAATTAAAAAATACACAGAGCTGCACTAGGAATGCAGTGTTGGCCTTGCTAAACTGGCCAAARCTTGAAATAATATTCAGATTTTTGAACTGATGATTGTGAAACCATGCTGGTTGTTTTGGAGATTGTTGAACAAAATTGATGCTTCTTTGAATTAAGCAATTTACTTTTGCCTTACCACCTCCTTGTGTAAATAAAATACACTTTCTATCTGTCTCTGAAGACTGAAATATGAAATATCCTGAAAATATTTTGGATGAATATGTCTGTGAAACACGCTTTTATTTTTTATTTTTTTTTTATTTTAAGTCCCTCTGTGCACATACACATCAGTAAAGTTCTTGGAATATTTTCCCTTCATGGCTTTCTTCATTTGAGTTGCATGCTGAGGCATTTCCACTGCTGATGGATTTCTAGGCAKCAGCTTTTTAGATATAGGAGGAAGTGGTACACTAACAATTTACAAGCCTGATTTTCACCAGTCCAATGCACTGTGTTCCTGCAGCCGACCTAGCTTGCTTTCTTGAAAATCACCCTTCAAAGCACTGTTGGCTAACCGCCTTCAGCATGCCAAGGGGAATTGCACCTCCAACTCTCTTCATTTTTTCCTTGTTACAGRGGTTACAATTTCTGTGGAAGTAATTGATGGAAAAAAAAATCAGCTCTTCCGTGCGCTTTTTGCAGGTCTTAGAACTGCTGCTGGCCTTCTGTTCTGTGGCAGAACTGCGTYGCATTCTGCGGCAGGCGATACTGGAACCCTCTGGCCTGCCCGTCGCTGGAAATGCCAGATTTGTAGCTCGCTCAAAGACTTTTGAGCCATCTGTTGCCTTGGTGCACTTGTCAAACCAGCCACTGGAAGGTTCTGAAGACTGTTCTGTTCTAGCTTTGCAGCTGTTTAAGGAGATCTTTGAGGTACCAAAACTAGTAATGTAGTTTAAATAGCATCTTAGCAGCTATGTTTTGTCTGAATTGATCTGTGAACAACTGCGCTTACTGTTAGAATGTTAATCCGTCTTTGTGATCTTACTTGAAAAACAGCATATAAAAAAATCCTGAAATATAATGCTTCTGGTTCTAGAATTCCACATGCTGTAAATCAGATTTCTTTTAAGGACAAACCATGTATTACAAAATAGCTTTATGTAGGAATGTAATTGGAAGATATGACAGTTGATGAAATGATTGGGTAGACGCAAGCARTTTGTTACTGACGGTTCTTTCTTAGCACTGGTAGAAGTGAAGAAGTGTCTGCTGATTCTGTGCTCTTTGTTACACTTCCACCAGTGTGATACTGATCAGTAGTCTGGAAACAAACTTGAAGCAGTAAAGCTTTGGGAAAGCTAGAAGACAGGCTGACGTAAGAAGGGTAGAATGGTTTTGGTTTCCCAGCTCCGTGGTTTTAAGTATTGACGTAAAATTTGTCTGTTGCAGGATGTTATTAATAGTGGCAACAGTGGCTCAGCTGAACACTTTGTGGATCTTTTGCTGCCTGTTCTGCTTGATCATCTTCAGATGCCAGAACAGATTGTGGATGAGTTATTAGTGAAGAAAAAGTGTGAACGAATGGTTAAGGCTATAAGTGTTCTGACAAATATCCTTTTTATGTGCCTATTGGCAGTTAATTTATTCTTCTTCTACTCTGATACTCATCTTGAGTCACTTAATAGCTTTTCATGAAGGTCAACACCATAATTTGGCTTAGGGCTGTCATGCTGATAGACCTTAAATTGCTTTCTAATTGCTTGGGAATAATTGAATGATAGAGTGATGCAGGATAAAATGTGGTGGCTGTTCAAAAGTATAAAGCATCCAGCTAAATATGGTGCAAGTTCAGATCAGTGAAATGCAATTAAAAATAGATGTGAAGTGATACCATTTTACATTCTTCTGTTTTCAAAGGGGTCCCTTCATTAGGCTCTGAGTGGCTTTTCTTGTCTATCCAGGCTGGAATACAATCTCTGACAGGGGGCAAGCTTAGGGAGGAGCCTGGGGAGAAGACCARTGTGGTGCTACTGCTCTTTTTTTCAGGCTTCAAGCCTTGAGTTATTTGGAAAACCACATTTCTTCCTCTCTCTGATATTTTTTTTTCTACTTCTATGATTTTTGCCCAGTTGCCTTTTTCAGCTTTAAGCCTCCAGTCTCACCTACAGAACTAAGTCTTCTATTGGAGAGTGATCTTTGTTTCCCTTCAATCATCTGTGTTGTGATTTTGTAGACAATGGCATTTCTCTAGTCCTCCAGTTGCATGTTTCCAAATCAGTACACTTAATTGAAAAGTGAAGCTTACTTGGCTTGTGACTTTAAAGATGCATCTATTAAGTTATTTTTTCTTAACTTAAGTCTACTGCTGTGTGGAGATGACATATTGAAAACACATGCCTCAAAGGAACTGAGTGCCAGCCGGTGCATGTCGCTAATAGAACACCAGTTCATCTATATTGGGGTTGATGCTGGTTTTGGGACCAAGGTAGTGAACTCTGAACTGTGGTGAGCACACTAAAATCATGTTTATCTAAACTCTAACTTAGCAACACTTGCATGAGAGTGGTGATGTAGTTTCAAAGAAAATTATCAAAAAATGATGATCAAAAGTGGCAAAAGGCTTTGCTGGTCAGTTCAGTATGAAAAACTAGAATAAATGTTTTGATATCGTTTTGGGGTTACGTGAAGCTACACTGTATCAAAAGTGATATTAAACTTCATATGCTACAGTGAAATCCAAATCAAAGCATACTTGAAATGCTCATGACACCTAACTTCCCATTTTGCTTTTATGTAACTAGCGTTCAGAAACATTGCACATTAGTAGGTGGAAAAAAATTACATGCTCAAGGCATATAAACCACTTCAGCTCAGTGCAAACAGCTAGTTGGCTAGTTGCTACCCTTCCATTACCAACTAATATTGAGATGTAATTGTCCTGGATTTAGATGCTCTTCATTTTTAAGCTGAATTAGACTTCAGTATTGCAGTCCTTAATGCATTGGAGAAGCTCAGTAGCACATCTGAGGAACTGAGTAATCTCTCCTGGTGGTGGCATCAGTGCCTTGCTAGACATATTTAATTTGGGGGTAGAAGCATGTGTTCTGTAGAGAGACTGAATTTTGCCGTGGTAATTTGACAATCTCATTCTACCTCTCTTTCCACTTTTCCATTTGTATTAAAAGCAAACTTGCTGCTGATGTTATTTTGAAAACACTTGATCTTATGAGCAGACTTAAGCAGGAGGTATCTAGCATGGAAGTCAGCTTCTACAAAGTTTTACAGGTATGAACTGAAATCTCTTCTAAAGCATATCTGTGGAGGAATGTCCTAGCACTGCGGTAGATCTAATTCTGAATGTTTGTGTGTATATCTATAATTCCAAGTTTCTATGTAAATCTAATTATATTTAAGTTTGGGTGTTTTATGTCTTTAAAAGCAAGTTCTTCAAAACTTAAAGGACTTAAGTAGACTTCTATCTGTTGACTTGACTTAAAAAGGAAAGCAAGTTTATAACAGCTGCAAGTAAGAAGCTGCTTTAAAATTCATTTCTGTTTCATTGCATTCATGTTCCAGATACTCAGAAAGGTAAACTTCAGGGAGGTAGCTTCACTTTTGAATAAAGCATTTCTGTGCTAACAGGCTTGGGTGTATTGTAATGTCTTTTCCTTGTTGTTGATGTGTACTTGATCAGTAGTTTCTTTTCAGGATCAGCGCTTGATTACACCTTTGACATYGGCTTTAACATCAGATCACAGAGAYCAGGTGCAAGCTGGACTTCGAATACTGTTTGAGGCAGCGCCCTTACCAGATTTTCCTGCCATAGTGTAAGTTCSTTTTTGTGATAGTGTCGTAAAATTTGACACTTTTATGGCTGTAGGGATGCTTAATGAGAAAGACTTGACCAAATAATTTGTTTTTCTTATGGGTTTTCTTGTCACTTTGTTTCTGGTTTTCTTGTTCTTGAGAAAGCTCAAAGAAACTACAAAAAAAAAGAAGCATATTCCTTTTTGTCATAATCTGAAAAAAGGCAGTGTTGAGAACAGTTATAAGAACTGTGTATGTTAAAGCTGTACTTTTATCCTTAGAATTCTGATGCTTTTATGATTATGAAGTAGTAGTATATTTCAATAGCACTTGTATCTAGTTAGCTACAGATGTCAGGAGTTAAATCCTTGATTTTTTTCAAGTAAATGAATGTAACGTGATAAAACATACACAATTTACAAAAGCTACTCTAAATAGGGTTAAAAAGGACTATTTAAAAATTTCTATCAAGAAAACTGTTAGAAGACATCATCAATTGCAGTTAAACGTGAAACCATGCAGTAACTCTCTGGGAAAAAGAATTACCTTAATTCAGAATAGCTGAATCTGCATGATGACCCAATGAAAAGAGCCTGGGARAAGATAAGAAAAAGCTGCATTTTCATCAACAGTTGATACTAGAAGCAGCACTTAATAGACTACCTTGCCAGTGCTGCATGCCCTCCTAGGGTATCAGTAAATGAACTCTGTTTGTGCTATTGAGAGTCAGTTTGTGGACAGATGGCTTGGCTTCAAACCTTCTTAATCTTCTAGGGACTTTGAGATCATCAGCTGTGGAGGAAGTAGCTCCTTTTCTAGGAGCCCTTTAGGGAACTTCAGTGCGTCTGCGGCTGGGTGAGGATAGCTGCCAGAGGCTCTGACTCCTAGCAAGTCAGTAGCTATTAACAAGTTCTGCCAGGTTTTAAGAGATCATCAAGTGTTTGGAGCTTTTGTTCTAGCCCATTCCTGATCAGGGTAAAGCTTCCTTTCAGCAGGAACTAGGAGAGCCCTGTATAAATGCTGGCCTACAGCATGGTTCCCAGAGCACAGCTGGAAGAGATAGTCACCAGATGCAGCAGTTTTCCCAGTGGTTCATGCAGCAGGGCAYAAAAGTGACCAGCAGCTGTTCAGAAGGCTCTTGTCTGCTGACAAGACCTCAGATTCAAGGGGTTATTGAAAATCTACTGAGGTTGTCCAACTCTCAGGCTCTTACTCTGCTGCTTTTCCACGTGAGCACTAACAATACTGCCAAGAGGAATACCAGGGAAAATGTAGGCCTAATGCTGAATGGTGAAAGGATTCTGAAAGATACAGAAAGGCGCAGGTACTGAATGCTTTCACCACAGTCTTTGCTGGAAAGAAAAGCCTTCAGGAATCCCATACCCTGCGTCTGGAGGGGAATTCTGGAGATGGAAGACTTTCCCTTAATGGAGGAAGATTAGGTCATGGAATCTTTAACCTAACTGGATGTACACCAGTCTATGGACCCTGATGGAGCTCACCCATGAGGCTGTCATTGTCAGGCCACTCTGTCTTGGAAAGGTCAATCGAAAGAGGTTCCTGAGAGCTGAAAGAAAGCTAACGTAGCATCAGTCTTCAAGAGGGGCCAGAAGCAGGATCTGGGAGAATGCAAGGCTTGACAGCCCTGCCTTGATCCCTGAAAGGATCATGGAGCAAATCTTTTTGGAAGCCATTTCTACATCTGAAAGATAAGATCATGATTGAGAGTAGTCAGCATGTTCTTATGAAGAGGGAATCACACTTGACCAACCTTAATAGCCTTCTGTATGAAATAATTGGCTTGGTGGTGAGGGGAGAACAGTGGGTGTTGTTCATCTTGACTTCAGTCTTTTGGCTCCCAAAACATCTTTATAAGCAAACTGATAAAATCTGGCCTGGATGAGTGCCTGATGCAAACTGGCAGAACTGCTGGGCTTAAAGGGTCATAGTCAGCAGCACAAAGTCTTGCAAGAGGTCAGTCACTAATGGTGTCCTCAGGAGCTGATGCTGAGGACCAATATTGTTCCAACTCCYTAATACCCTGGATGATGAGACAGCGTTCCACCCTCAGCAATTTCCCAGATGATACAAAACTGAAAGGAGTGGCTGATACACCAGCTACGTGTGCTGCCACTCAGAGAACCATGACAGGCTAGAAAAATGTGCAGGGAGGAATCTCAAGAAGCTCAGTAAAAAGAAATGCCAAGTCCTGCGCCTGGGAAGGAATAACCTTTTGCCCCAGTAAACACAGGAGGTTGACCTGCTGGAAAGTATATTGTCTGAAAAAGATCTGAGAGTCTTGGTGGAAATCAAGTTGATCGTAAGCTGGTAAAGACCATCAGCCTCCTCGGCTGCACTGGGAAGAGGGTTGCCAGCAGGTCAGGGGAGGTGGTCGTTCCTCTCTAGTCATTGCTGGGAAGACACCATCTAGAATACTGGGTCCAATTCTGGCCTCCCCAGTGAAAGAAAGATGTGGATGTACTGGAGCAAATCCAGTGAAGGAAGATGGCTCTCTCTTCGTGAGACTGAGAAYTGGAGAACAGGCTTAGGGTGAGACCCATGTCAATATTTATAAATATTTGATGGGAGGATGCAGAGAAGATGGAGAAACATTGCCTCTGTGCCACTGAATACCACTGAGGAAAAAAATGTGAAATATAAGAAATTGTGTTTATGTATCTTGTACAACGTGTACAAGTGGCCAAACACTGAAATAGGCTGCCTGGAGAGGTTGTAGCGACTCAATTGTTGGAGATGTTCAAAACTTGACTTAATCCTGAGCAACCTGCTTTAGTGACCCTCCTTGGAGATGATCTAGTGCAATCCTGCTCTTAGAGGTCCCATCCAACCTAAACTATTCTGATTCTAGGTTTTTTTTTATATTAATACAAAAAATGCTGTGGATATAAAAAATATAGCAGCAAATAGTCTAGTTAAATGAAGGATCTGTTAAACAATGGAGCAGCGAAATAACATGTCCATAAACACAAGTTAAGCACATGCTCTGTTCATGTAGACAGGAAGCAATTGAGACAGTTCTTCAATAAAGTGTTTGGGTTAATTAAAGAATTTAAAGAATCAAGATGTTGAGTGGTCACTTAATACTCAGCTATTTGACTTCTCCACTCTGATTAGGAATATGATGTGACTAACTGCCTTGAAAATGGTACCYGAGTGGCATGCAGACAAGGATCTTGGTATTCCAATTTATTCATTGCATATTTGAATTCTAGCTAAAACTTATGAAACCTGGAATGTTTCATAAAACAGTGTGAAGCAGAATCCCAGACAAGCCAAAATGGATGTGTCTATTTTTTTTGGTTGGCGCTGTGCTTCTTGATTATTCAGTGTTTTGATCTTTGATGGATAAAAATCACTTTCTGCTAGACGCCATGCCTGTCCTGCTACTGGCAGGATAGCCTTGTTGAGCAGAATAACAACGTTAGGTATTCTGTTTCTCAGGCTAACAAGGGACAGTTTATATCTTCTCCAAAAAGAGCCAAACAGCAGACTCTTGGTGAAATGCTGCACTTGTTTCTGGAGGTGATCCATGGCAGGTTACAAAGGTTTTTTTGAGGTGGATGTGGTAAGTGAATGTGGTACTTGAATGTGGTACTGAATCTTCAGTAGATGACTGACCATTTTTTGAGGGGTGAGGTGGTATCTCAATGTTATATGATAAGATATATGGAGTTTTCAGTGGTGTCATTTTCAATGAGAGAGAAGGTGTTATGAAATTGTTCATATCCTTAATCCTCAGAATGGTACTTTTAGCAAATTACTCTTAATAATCTCTATCTTTATGCAGGCTTGGTGAGAGCATTGCTGCAAACAATGCTTACAAGCAGCATGAAACAGAGCATGCATCAAAAAGAATTCCAATGCAGTCACCCATGACCCATGTTACTTCAGTGAGTTCTTCATCCCATTCATCATGTGATGATTCCATAACTTCAAGCATTCAGGAATTGATACAGAAACTCCACTCTGGACTAGAGGTTAATAGAATTTATGTATGTTTGTTAAATATTTGACACTTCACTGAAACCATATCTACATTTCAGGCTACAGTGGCACGCGACCTTTGAGATGAGTGTAGGTTCCTGTCTATTTGGAATGTGGTGTTTTTACTGAGCTCTTGAGCAGAACTCAGTTTTGTGCTATATCAGAAGCTGGGATATTGTTGAAATCCTTTTCAGCACTGGAGCTCTCCACCCTCTTTTAGGTGTCATATGGAGGCAGAAGTCAGATGTAGTCATGAGTGTGTGTCCTTGCTGGGATGGGTACAAGGAGGGCCTTCCCTTCACACCTCCACCCTACCTCCCCTTGCCAAAATAGAGGTGATTGTTGCTTTATGAAAGCAAGGTGCACATCTCTTGCATCTCTAAACAGTACATTAACACTCTTATGCGTGTAGCTGGCTCCTTAGCATCTGTGGTTTAATTTTTGTGGTGTTCCTGTGAAGGCAGTCATATCACATTAGAAAAGCTTTGCTTTCCTCTGCAACTCTGTGCGTTGCAGATGAGGCACTCGAATAGGCACCACGTACAGTCCCCCTTATGGAGCCAGACTGTCAGATGCTGAATATTTCCCTTTTTCTCTTCAAAGCCAMGTACTTGCTTTGTAGCTGTTTTAGATGAAGTGCCGGGTTGTTGCCGCTGCTTTCCTTTGACTTCAAAGAACAGTGTGCAAATCAACAAGCTGAACAGGAAGTGTCTGATAAGGGCTTGGTGACTATTGATTCCACTGCCTCCAGCCTTACCTTTGCTGCAATCCTTTGCCTTTTGTAGTTAAGAATGAAACTCAGCAAGCTACTGGTTCTAGGTAGCTGCTGGAATAACAGTGGAAGAGGTCAAGTGAGTCTTGTCTCTGCTTCCTTTTTACACTGCCACTCAATATTCTCATTGAATCATCATTCTTTTCAGCACTGCAAGTGGCAGGTTGTAGGCGAGCTGCTGTGTCTTTAGAAGTCCAAGAGGCCACAGGTGTCTTGCAGTGTTAGTTCACTAGCTTGCAGGCATGTTCTGCAGCCCCTTGGATTTTTGATGAGAAAGAAAAATATCTATTTGCTGAGATTTTTCTTTGATGAGAGAATATATTTTTTGACTGAGATTTGTTCAGCAAATTATTTCTTAGTCCTTCTGATTAATAKTTTTTTCTTTTAAAAATGCATTAAACACTGATTAGTTAAACAGCTGACTATACCAGGTGTGCGTGCACTCTGTATGTTGTGTGAAGCTCAAATATGTATAAATGTATTTGAAAAACATCTTTTAATGGAATGACTGTACAGAGAAAATGAAGGGAGCTTATGTAATCTTTCCTTGTAATACCTAAAAGGACATAAGATGACAAGTTTGTAAGAAAGAATATAAGTTACTGGTGCCTATAAAGGGCAGGGAAATGAGCTGAAAATTGGAGCTGTTACAGGTGTGATATGTTGGGATTACTGAAAATTTCAAAGGAAAATCTGTAATTGTTCTAAATGGTGGAGAAAAATTCAGCATGCATTTGTTGTACAAACAGCTGGTATAATTTGCACTTGGTCGTGCATCTGTGAATAGGAACAGTTACTCAAAATTATTATACTAGCATTGTCTAAGGAAGAGTATCCTGAAATCACTGAGTGTCACTTTCATTTGACTTAACTGCATATTTAAATAAGCACTTAGGGCTTATGGCACCATACAAGGTAAACTTCCTGTAGTAAGCAGGTAGATTAAATAGCTAATTCTGTTCCAGATGGTGTCCTTTTGGAATAGCTATCCAGAGCCTTTCCTAATAATCCTCATGTTGACAAGAGTGAGGAGTGTAAACAAGGATTTTTAGCCATGTATGTGTTGTCCTGTTGGCATTAGGGAACATTAGATAGCTAATTTTCCAGGAGCTAACCTAGATGGCCATGGAGAAAATGTTGTGGGCATGATTCACAGATTCACAGAATATTTAAGGTTGGAAGGGACCTCTACAGATGATCTAGTCCAAMCTTCCTGCTCAAGCAGGCACACCTACAGCATGTGGCACAGGGTGGCATCCAGGCGGGTTTGGAAGACCTCCAGAGAAGGAGACTCCACAACCTCCCTGGGCAGCCTGTTCCACTGCTCTGTCACCCTAACAGTAAAGAAGTTGCTCCTCACCTGGAGATGGAACTTCCTGTGCTCCAGCTTGTGGCCATTACCCCTCGTCCTATCGCTGGCCACCAGTGARAACAGCCTGTCCCCTTCCTCCCTGCATTCTCCCTTCCTGAACTTATACACATTAATCAGATCCCCTCTGAGCCGTCTCTTCTCCAGAGAAAACAGGCCCAGCTCACTCAGCCTCTCTTCRTACGAGAGATGTTCCATTCCCTTAATCATCCTGGTTGCCCTTCTCTGGACCCTCTCGAGAAGCTCCACGTCCCTCCTATACTGGGGAGCCCAGAACTGCACACAGTACTCCAGGTGCGGCCTCACCAGAGCTGAGGAGAGGGGCAGGATCCCCTCCCTTGACCTGCTGGCAACACTCCTCCTGATGCAGCCAGGATCCCATTGGCCTTCTTGGCCACGAGGGCACACTGCTCACTCATGGCTAACTTAGTGTCAACCAGGACTCCCAGGTCCCTCTCCGTGGAGGTGCTCTCCAGCAGGTCAACCCCTAATCTGTACTGATGCCTGGGGATGTTTTCTTTCCAGAATGATCTGGAGTATGCAGTTGAGCAGATAGCTCCAGAGAGAAAATAGGAACTTAAAAAGCTAGCACAATTCAAGAAATTATCAAGCTTTTCAGACACGCATTACCTGTCTCAGTAGTTACAAATGTAATGTTTTCTAATTTCTGCTACTGTCAAATTGTCCACAGATGAAGGAGCCAATCATTGATATGAGGATATCTGACCTAATGGACGTTTATGAGCAGAAACTGTCAGCATTAGCAGTGAGTATGACCCAAAGTGTTTGTGGATGCACTCCTCCCTGCATATGCAAAAATTGGTAATGAAAAAACCCTTCTTTTTGTGCCAGTCCAAAGAAGCCAGGCTGCAAGACCTTCTGGAGGCAAAGGCGCTGGCGCTGACTCAGGCTGACAGGCTGATGGCTCAGTACCGATGCCAGAGAGCCCAAGCTGAGTCTGAGGTGAGTTGCAGGAGCTCGTTCTGGAACGCTGGGCTGCAGCGGAGTGATACTTGTCTGCTAGCTTTGACTGTGATGGGGCATGCAAAGCTTTCTGCTGCTTAGCTACGCTTACAGTTAAGGACAATCGTAATATGCCATCATAAACATCCCTTTTACTTTTGGATTGTTCTTTAAAACAGCTCTCTTCAGCTTTCTTTTCCTTTAGAGGAACTCAAAAAAACTAACCTTCTGTACTGATTACCTTTTACCCTTGATTAACAATTAACTGCTACTAATCTGGAGATAYCAATCTCAAAATCAAGCAAAAGCCCTCGCTAGATTTCTATATAGAGTTTGGGGTATGTAGAACAGCTGCTTATTTGTGCCTTTTAATCACTTGTCTTGTTCTGTACGAATGAACTCTCAAATCTTGCATAACTGGGCATTTGTAAGTAAGGGATGCTCTGAGAGCTCATTATCATTATCCTATCAAAGAGATCTTTGGACTTGGGCTACCTAAACTTTCTTCCCTCTCTTACACTGACTATAAAGGAAGCTCAAGGAATTTGGAATGAGCTAATTGGCGAATTTTTAGTTAATATTTGTTAAGAAATCTTTCTCAATGTAGCTGATTTGAACATCAGATATTTTAACATCAGAGACTTATGCCTATCATTATCAAACATGACATTAGATATTACAAAGTGGCTTATAAAACAGTTGCTTGTACCTTTCTTTTTTTTTTTCTCTCGCTCAAAGGCAAGAACTCTTGCTGCAATGTTGAAGGATGCAGAACGAAAAAATGAAGAACTTAATGTTTTGCTGAAAGCTCAGCAGGTGGAATCCGAAAGGGCACAAAATGATATTGAGCAGCTCTTTCAACATAACCGGAAGCTACAGACAGTTGCTGAAGAACATGAAATACTGAAAAAATCCTCTATTGATCTTCTTCAGAAGTAAGAAGCTTAAAATCGCTGAGCAAATCCTTCATATCCAACTGGAGTGATAACATCCTTTTATTTTTCTGGGYTAAGTACATTAGAAGGACAGCATCACATGCTGCTTCGTAGTTTAAAGTGAAAACTTCCCTTTATCCCTTTATCCCTACTTCTGGGTCAAGTACCTCCCAAGTCATTCAGAAAGTCACTGTGTTAAATGCAGTCKGAGAACCGAAGGTGTAGGTATTGAAGGTCCGCCTCGGAAATGCCAAGAGCTTTGTGTATTTAAACAATACACAAAACGGAGGGAAAAAAAAAAAATGTTCTTGAGGCAAAGTACCTAACCATGCTTGGTTTCTAATGGTGTCGTATGATGGGTCCGTATCACATAGGAGCTTGCACSTTGTGACCACTGCTGGAACCCAGAATTGGGTCAAAGGGAGATGAGAAGGGTGGCAGCACCTTCTCCCCAGTCTCCCCAGTGACACTTATGTGTATTATTTCTATAGGACTTTAAGGTGAAAAAGGGCACACGAGGCACRAGAAGTACATGAGGTTAGAAACTGTGTATTTCTCTATAGAAATAAAGAGTCTGCTTTGGGAAAATGAAAGCTAAAAGCTTTCCCTGTTCAACCTGCATGAGTTGTTCTGGTCCCTAAGTGTCATTGAGCAAGGCCAAGAAGCTGATAAAAATAAGAAAGATTCTAACTTAATGGGAACAAACATTTTATTAGATATTTTAAAGGCAYGTAATTACCCATAGGGAGTTATGGGGGATAGAGCGTTGGAATGCATGTAAGTGAATTRCTGCATCCATTATGGAGTTTCTTGGATACTCATTTAGTGTAGTTGCTATGGCAGTGCTGCCTTTTTTTTTTTTCTCCTTTCAATGTATATAGCAGCATGCTATATGAAGATGTATTTATTTAGTTGTGCATGAAATGACTGAAATTCTAGTATTTAGTCATTGTACATTTTCCAGGAAGGAATAAAATAGCTTGGTCATCCTTCCCATGTGTTATAAAGTAAGAACTTCTTTTTTCTAAACAGTCTGCACATTTATTAAATGCAGTTCTTKAACAGACTCACTGTCCCTTAAAAGATGGCTGCAAAAAGCAAATTGGGAACAGTTTGTGTATGCCAAATTTCTAAAGGCATCAGCCTATTCGTTTGCTAGCCCTGCGAGTTTTCTACTGAACAAGGTTGTTTCCTGATGTTCATTAAGGATAAGTAAGGGATCCACTGACGCTTGCTTTTTGTCTGTGTTCAGAAGAAATAATTTATGCTCAAGTGGGATAATTGCTCAGAAGATGTCAAGTATTTTTTATTTTAATCTGACAAACTATTAAAGTAAAATATCTTGAAAACCACTTACCTGTTTTAAGTATAACCCTTTCATTTATTTGTAGGCATGAAAAAACTGAAAGACTATATAAAGATCTACAGATTACATGCAATTCCCTAAATAAACAAGTGGAAGCAATGAAAAAGCTAAATGAATCACTCAAGCAACAGAATGACAAGTAAGTTTGTGACAGTTTTTTAATTTTTTTATTTTTTTTTTAAGAAAGATAAACTAAAAGATTGAGACTAACGTGCAATTTAACTTCACYGTTTAAGTAACCTCTGAGAAGTGTAGTTATCTTCAGGGCTGTTTGATGTGTGTATTAGATGAAATTCTGTGGTCGTCATTTCTACTTGTTTTTGTTCCCTATAGTATTGTTTGGTGTGGGAGGAGAGGGGATTAGGGGCCTTCCACAAAGGCTGTGGAGACAGTAGGAAGAAAAAATACTATTACAGTAATACAGACATTTTCATGGTGTTTTTTTTTTTTTTACATTTTCAGTGTGAGTTTAGTTCTCAAATATTATTTTTCACCAAAGTTTTCACCCAAGTGTTTTAGCCTGCAAGATTTCTCTGTAGTATATCAAATATTGATCTTGACACTGGAGAGCTTTTGTTCGCAAATAAATGCGTAAAACTAATGCATGGTGTCATTTAAAAACAAATCATAAGTAGTAACAGTTGGTATTCTCTCTCTGTGGTGCAAAACGTCATTCTTTGAGCATAAGGCTATCCCTGAGGTGAAAACATATATTTTCCCCCAAAACTAATGGCTTAAGATAGTGCTGATGCGCTTGTCACCCATGTACAAATAAATTGGGGACAATGCAAATGCACAACTGCACAACCCTCCATCCCACCCACGTGCACTTTGCTGGAGGCTACAATGAGAAGCTGGTAGCTAGTAGGTGGGTAAGCAAGTGAGCTAGAGTGATAATAGATGGCAACCAGGTAAGACAGAAGGTAGAAAAAAATCTGTGTTAGGAATTAGGCTACCTAATAACAGGGAAAAGTTAATTATCTTCAGAAGGTATAAAGTGTTCAAGTGAGATCTGTACACTTGTGACACTGATAGGAAATGATAATCACAGAATCATTATGGTTGGAAAAGGCTTTCYAGATGGAGTCCAACCATAAACCCCTCWACACGACCCTTGCTAATGCCTGTATGTTCAGTGATCTTGAAGCTAAATATTATCCTAACTGATTAGGATGGAGTGAACTCTTAGAGATGGACTACAGCAGAATCATGTGAAATAGTCCTCTTTTTCTAACTCTTCTGTGACACTCCAGAAGATSATCTAAATGCTATTGGAGACTTTGTACATAGATGTGTTTATATAGCAAATACTCCTTCTCTGAAACACATTTTACTGACAGTATTGTCAATACAGGAGCACCCTAGGAGCTCAAAAACCAGTACCCTCCTTTATCAGTGAGATATGACTGGCAATTTCAGTTCTACAGTGGTATTTTGAATGCTTTGTGTGTCTGTAGGAAAAAAACATTTTTGATTCTCAAGCTCTAAGAATGACTACGTAGTAGTTTCAACCATTTTCCTCTGATTAGAGAGAAATAACTTTCACAGAAGGTTGGGTGGAGGAGAATTCTGTCTGCACACAYACTCTACAAATTCATAGTTGTGTTGATTGGAAACTCCTGACTGCWGTTGGAATTGATGCAAAAATCRTTCTTGCTTGTTAAAATATAATGCYATTGTCTTCTATTTTAACCTTCCTGATGATTATTGTTTTTTTTCTGCAACTCTAGGACTGCTGCACAGTTGAAAGAAACTGAAGATAACAGAAAAGAATTACTACAACAGCTACAAGATAGAGACAGCAAAATAGCAAGTAAGCCATGTGCTGAAATTGGACTGAAAGAAATAATTAGASTAAATTTTTTTTATGTGCTCTAGATAAATGGCTAACTTGTAAGCTTTAAAGATAGCCAGAGATAACAATTGCATGAAACGGATCAAATGCTTTGTTGTTGTTGTTATTTGAAAGGATAGGAAAATATAACTTTTCAGTTTACAGGGATTTCATTGAGTCTTTTGGACTGTATCAGACAGCCCTTGAGAACCCTTTTAGAGCACGGCCATTAGAACTAATTTCTGTAGGAACTGTAAATTACAAGATTTTAACTTTTCATCAAGTGGCTGCAAAACAGACACTATAACTTAGCAGTAGATGGCAGTACTCCATAATTCACTTAGCAGCCATGCAGGGTCTAAAAATATGCGTTGTTTCACAARCAGTTAAGTAGCTCTATTCTAAGTSTGGCAACCCTGGCAACATCTCTTCATGCGTTGTTTTTTTAAGGCTCACAACAAAAAATAAAAGTTCTGGAAGAAAAACTAAAATCTCGGCAGAAAGAAAAGACAGAGATGGAAGAAACTATAGATGTTCTTAGAAAGGAATTAAGTAAAACAGAACAAGCAAGGAAAGAACTGAGTATTAAGGTAAGAATTATTTTCACCTGTCCCCAGTTGGGAATTTTAAGTGTCTAAATAACTAATAGAGTCGGAGAGTTGATATTTCAATAATAGAAATTGTTAAAGAAACCAGAGCATAATAGATAAGAACAAATATATTTGTTCTTAATCACATATAGATTTTGAGTTTTGAATAATGTGTCTGAATTTAAGACACAGTATTCGAAAAAGAGACCAAAGTCAGACTATAATGAGGCTTTATAAGAGTGGAGAGGACATAATGTCTGAAAGAAAATAAACATGCTGAGAGAATGGCGCGTGTTCTTTTTTTTAGTTGTTAGTTTTGGCTTCTGGAGAAGGAGGTTTGCATGCCCCTCTTTCTCCCCCACCCACCAAAATGTGTCTGTGGTTTTTTGTTGTTGTTTGTTTTTCATTTTTGAAATTCTAAGAAATCTATTTTCATCTCTACAAAAAATATGGGCCTTTCCAAGACAGAGGTGCATCAGCTTGGCTATACAACTAGGGTCAGCAGGGTAATGTTTAAAAACAAACAAAAGGCAAAACAATAAATATCAAAAACCAAACAAAAGCCAGAAAAGCTTTTGCACTGCAGCCTGCATGTTCTTGCCTGGAGGTGTATTCAGCTTCCTAATAACTCCCAAGGCACGGAGTAACTTTCTCTCTGCAAACCGGTCAGTAACTGTGAAGATCTGTGTGGTCTAGCTAGCAATGGCTTTGCAGTATTTCTGTTAACTGTTGCACCACTAATCTCTCCAGGGAAAATTTTTCAGTATATAACAAATCTTTATCTTGTTATTGGTAAACATTTTGCATTTGGCTTGGAGAAGGCGGGGGGGGAGGGGGGGAAGGAAGGAGGGGGGAAACATGGATGGCCTTTGGGCACTTCTGTCCCTTAAGTAGGACAACAGTAACATGACAATAGATGTTTTCCCCTTGGTATCTATTTGAAGTGTGACAGTAGCTGTAACTATTCACACATACCTCTGCAAGGGCTGAAAATGATGTTTCCAAAGCAAGCTTGTAATTTTAAAACTACGTTTTAATTCCTTAAATTCACCGCCCCACCACTCACCTTCCACTGATTTCTGCCTCTATGAACTGAAAAAAAATGTTTCTCCTGCAGGCATCTTCTCTGGAAGTTCAAAAGTCCCAGTTGGAGGGACGTTTGGAAGAAAAAGAAGCTGTTGTAAAACTACAGCAAGAAGAACTGCACAAACACTCCCATATGATAGCAATGATTCACAGTTTAAGTGGTGGCAAATTAAGTGCAGAAACGGTGAACCTCAGTTTATAGGGCTCTGTAGTTGGGTTTTAATATTTTATACATATGTATAATTATATGTAAAGACTTTTAATTTGAAACTACCATATTATCTGGCTAAAAAAAGTCCCATATCATCAAAAATTAAGTAGCTTGGCTGTCAATTTAGAAGAACTAGTACTTTGAAAGCTTTGGCTTGAGAAATCTGAGGCACCATATAACAAATGGGTCTTCTGCCAGTCTTGTAGAACTACCATCATCCATACTGGCAGCTGGATTCAATTGTTGTTTCGGACAAAACCATCTTTAACCAGACAAAGAGGCAACAACAGGCAGTGACACTTTTGTCTGTACGTTCCATTATTGGCAGTCAGACATGCTGTTTGCTTCTTTATCAAAATGCTTGACATTTCTATAATTTCATCTTGCTGATTTTGAATCTCCTGAATACTGTGGATTTTGCTTCCTGATGTCCAAGATACAAACAYAGAAACAAAGTAGATCCTACCAATTAGAGCATGTTACATTGAAAGCTATATTTCAGTTTATCGGTGCACATTTCATGTCGTAAATAGGTGGGGGTGTTGCTAATTAGTAGTGATAGGAATTTCAGCAAGTAGAATAGAACCTTGAATGAATATCCAGGTGCTATCAATAATGGAAAGTAACCAGATATGAAATGCAAAGCTTTGTTAGAATACTATATATAATACTTTCCTAGTTCTACCATGACACTTTCTCCTTCTTTAAAAGGCTCTGCAGTTTGTTTTGAATGTCCTACCTGGTATACACTAGCTATTCTCAGCACTGTCCACTTCTGAACATTTCTGTCCATTTCTGGAATTTCATATACTCTTTGAAGTATAACTTTGAAGAAAACTTTTTTAAAAAATGTACTTTCCTCTGAGACTAGTACTAGAACTTGTGATGTGCATTTTTGAGTGGGAGAAATATTTTCATGTTCTTAGCTTAAATGTGACATGACTAACATGTCTCTTAGCAGTTGGCAAAATTCTTACTTTGATAGCTGTTTTGGTAGAACTACCAGAGTTCTGGATGATTAATATATATATATATATCCTTATCTGTAGTGTTACTGTCTTTATTTGTATCTACTCTGCAATAGCTGAATTTTAATACGTCTGAGATGCCTTATGTTTTTCAGTTGTGTAATGCATGTGTCTTGATCTGCTCAACTCATGTCTAAGTAGAGCCTTGCACATTCAGCTGCAGTTGCACACCAAATGAATTGTATCTATTTTAACTTGTTTCTGAAATGTATTTCTTATGACTTAACCACAGGTAAGATTACAGACATGGTTTTGGTCTCTGTGAAGACTGCAGGAATAAAAGATTGCTCTATTTTCTGTGTCTTACGTATTTTGTCAAGAGAGGTAAACTACAAGGATAAMTGCTAGCTCAGGGTAGAATACATGCAATTGGGCTGCCTTGTTGCCTAAATCCAAGCTACTGCTTAGGAMGGTTTGAAGAAAACAAAACAAAACCCACCACCATCTACAAAAACACACCAGAATTGCTGAGGTAAGTTGTTGGTGATGGTTTTCTGTTTGTTTGTTTTGTTTTTTCCTCTTATGGGGAAGAGGGAGTGGGTTTGGGATTTTTTTTAGGCTTTCCCAAACTCAAATAGGAAAGCAAGCTTCATTATTAGACGTAAGTTTTTACTTCAGTTTAATAGGTTTATAAGTTTGTGTGTCAACATATATTTGCACACATGCAGTTATTTTTCCYTAAGTCTCTTGGTCACAGGGAAAGGATAGATAAACATTTTTGCTGACTTTCTGCCAAAACTGTTCATATAAAGGAATTCAAATAGGAATTAAATTGTCAAGCAAGTTACTAATTAAACTGATAAATGCGGGACTGACTTTGCTTTTTTTTWAAATGGGAATGGGAGGAGGGAAACAGAAAGCTGCCTACTCAAATAAGGTTATTCAATGAAGCTTCATGGCCCCAGAAAATGGCATATGAATCTGTGGAGCTGACATAATAGAATCCACAGTAGGAAGCACTGTGTATGAATATTGATTGGCACTTTTTCCTGCAAAAATGTGCTGCTTCAGTATGCTATTGCTCTAAGCCAAATGGTGCTGAGCTCAGTTGGAATGTATAGCAAAAGGATGCATGGGCAAATTAAACTACTTTGACAAACAGTTGTGTTTTCTTCACTGGCAATGCTTTTCCAAATGAATAGTGGCAACAACTAGCAAGCAAATTGACATCTGTTTCTGATATAGTTGAAAGCACATAGCTCTTGTCCTGGAAGCTCCTCAAAAATCTGCAGCTTTTTTTTTTTTTTTTTTTTTTTTTTTTACATGAAATTCAAGCAAAAGAAAAGCTGTGTGTTTGGGAGTTGTTGTTGTTTGTTTTCTTTTAGGCAGGTTTGCTTTATCATAGATAGTTCTGCAGCCTCCTGGTGCAATTTTCATATTCCTGTTACACGCTGTATGCAATACACTATTGGACTGCATTTCCCCCAGAGGCTCCCTCATTTGGTGCCAAGAGGAGCTGGCACCAGCATAGCGAACAGCTATTCGATAAGAGTCAATTTTTAATTATCTGTGCTACATCAGCATGCCAATTGCCTGGTTTATTAACATACAGACTCTTGAGCTGTCTTGTCACAGACAAACATCAAGTCTCTAAATCAGGTGTTCTAGTACTTGCGTTATCTGGAAGTAGCTGTCATTTATCCTACATAATCTGGAGAAGAGCCAAGGCTTTTGATAGTTTTTTTTTGGAAATGTTTAATACTGATTGAATAATAGAATTTACTTAGTGTTAAGAAAATACAGAATCCTGAGTGTAAGTTTAAGTGTTTGTAAGGGTATAAATGTTCTTAGAAGTAGTAAGCAGAAGTTTTCCTTTTTCTTGGAAAGCAGAGTTTACTCTCTGCAGCCATGGATCAGGTATTTTTAGGCAAGTATATATTCCACACACACAAAAAAAAAGCTTTCAACCTTACAAAGTTGTTTTTATATAAATAAATTCCTCCATGCTGTCCCATCTGGCCACTTTTGAAATATCTTCAGATTTCTTTCCTCTGAAACAGAGATCCCTTCCAACTCTTTCTCCCCAGAGTTTGCCTGCTGCAGGGTGATGGAGTTGGGAACAGACTGGCAGGTTTGCATCCCTAGCTTGGATTGCTTTCTCTGCACCCCAGCTGGCTGCTTTTTTGGGGGTATGCATGAATGTGGCACAGCTAGTTGCTCAGAACTACGTCACATGAAGCTCTAGAGCAGGTTATGTAAGTATGTCACTTTAGAGGGGGGCCATCTTCTGTTTATACTGCTAAAAAATAGTACAAGTCTGCTAAGTTTATGGTTCTCATGCTTGCCATCTGCTAAATTATTCAYAAACTGCCTCGTGTCCTCTTGGCACGTTGCCTTTTGAACTGGAGATTAACTGACAGTCTTGATAGAGGAGCTGGTAGTCATTGGAAGTATCTCATCTTACTACAGCATTAGCGTGAAGTGCATGTGGCTAAAAATGCTGCCTCTTCTCTGCCTGCATGGCCTTCTAAACTGAACTGTAGATGCAAATTCAAGCTTAAAAGTGTGATGATATATTTTTGCTTTCTTTTTTAAGACATTAGTGTTTGCCTAAAAGTGAAAGCTTGCAAGTTCTGGGAGCCCTTAAGTGATGTATTGCTACCAGCTKAAGATTTATTTTCCTAGTTCAGTATCGATGGGCTGTGTTGCTTTCTGAGCAACCATTGAGGATGTTTTGCTATCCACAATGGACCTTTCTCCCTGAATGTGTCTCTACAAACCTAAGTGTAGAAGTACACTACAGATCCATAACATGGTCGGGATTTTAGAGGTCTGATAGGGGTCATCTGGTTCCAACCTCCTTGCTCAAGGAGGGTTAGCTGAAGCAAGTTGCCCAGGACTGTCCCATCCAGTTTTGAATATATCCAAGSATGGAGACTGKACAGTCCCTATGGGTACCTTCTAGTGAATAAGTGTGGTGTGGTATGTGTGTTTCGATAGAGGTGGCTGTTTTTTGGTTTGTACCTGTTGCCTCTTGTCCTTTCTCAGTAACYCTTTAGTTTTTACACTCTCCCATCAAATGCTTATCAGCCTTGATAAAATGCCCCTGAGCCTTCTCATCTCCAGGCTAGAGCGCYATCTCTGTCATCCTTTCCTTGTATATGAGAAGCTCCTGTCCTTAATCATCTCAGTGGCCTTTTGCCAAACATGCCAGTTACTCCCAGGGTTTCTTGCACAGGGAAGCTCAGAGCAGGGCCTAGCGCTCCACATGTGGCTGCCTCGGAGTTGAGCAGAGGGGAAGGATYCCCTCCCTGCCTGTGGCAGGGCTGCTCCTAAGGCAGCCCAGGATCCCGTTGGCCTTTTTTATCACAAGGCAAACTGATCGCTCATGGTTAGTGTGTCCACAGGGATCCCCGGGCATGTCTCTGCAAGGCTGCTCTCCAGGTCATTGCCCCACCATGAGTACTGGGGTTACTGCCTGGGTGCTCCACATGATGCTTCCCACATACAGGACTTTGCCCTTCCTTTGTTGAACTTCTTGAAGATCCTCTATCCATTTCTCCATCAAAGYAAGTGTCTTTATCCCAGCTTGGTGCTTGCCCCAATACTCTTCAGGAGGAACGTGCAGCAATGAATGTCACTGAATGCTGGCTGCTTCTTTCTGTGCTTGTTTTCCCCTTTTTAACAGAAAGCTTGTGGAGAAACCTCAGAAWGGAGAAGACCGTGCAGTAAAGCTGATGGGGCAGTGGCTTTCTCCTTTCTCTGAGGAACGTGAGTGGCTGGCAAAGCCATATTGCAGCATGGGGACGGCCCCATGGAGACGGCCTTTCCTCCCTGCAAGGTGTCCCTGTTGCTACTTGTGCTCTAGGGCGAGAAGGAGGGAATGAGGAGGGAGGAGGAATGATGCCACCTGGCCTAAAGGAAATTAATAGGAATGCAAAATCCCAGATTTCTGTGGTTAACCTTTTCCAGTGTAAAAGTTGACAKCAGCTCTCTTCTTAATACGGTCATCTCATGATACTGAGTCTTTGTTCTAACTCCAGCCCATGGGTTGTCGCTTAAAATATTACGATTAAATTTGGTGGGATCCTGTTCCTGTGAGCCGAAGTATATCTCTGAAAAGGTTATCTCTGCATGGAAACCAAACTTTTCATACCCCACAGTGCAAGAAGGGCTAACCCTTCTTTTCTCCATACACAGMTAAGCCTTTATGCTTATTTATATGATCATATAATGTATCATGCTTAAYTTTTTCTCTGCAGTAACTGAGCTAACAATGTGTTTTGGGGGTTTGCACTGTATTAAGTTATTAAAAACTAATTTTGCTAGTAAGCAGCTGTTGTTTTGGCTGGGTTATGCTTTATAACAATACRTCTGTGTGCTTTCTTTGTGTATATAGATGCTCAAGCGTTGCATTTCAGCTTTGTTTCATGGTACAGCCAAGCAAGTCCTTTAGTCTTTGAAGGAAGTTAAAGCATTGCAATTTAAAAAGCCAGAGGCTTGTGATAAGCTAATGATGGGCCTGGGGTGGTGGAAGGCAAAGGGAATCCCTGCTATTCAGTTAAAATACACTTTGTTTAATCTTCGAGTGGGGCAAAAAAGGAGAGCTGGGAACTGTTGCTGCTTGCTTACATGTCACATCAAATGCTTTAATTGTTTCTCTTCTTATCTACTGAGGATCAAGCTTAGAAAAACATCTTTAGTTTATTTTTATCACCTATCTCACAATTGAATTTGGATCAAGGTTGAGAAGGAAAAAAAAAAATCAAGCCTTACATTTTCTTGCTTGTGTTGAATCGCCTCCTTCTGTGCAGCTCCCTCACTGCGACTACCCCAAGGGCAGCAGGAATTCTGAGAGCTCCTGCCTTGGTTTTGGTGCTGCTCTCACGGTTGGCTTCAGCACTGTGCGAGTTCTTCAGGATGTGGTCAGACAGATGCTTCTTTTGAGACTGTGCCCTTGTGTACGTGCAAAGGACCTTCGCCAGGAAATAGCTAATGGATACCACCCACCATTTTTTATTTTTTTTTTAAAGACTCATGCTTTTCATTTCCTATCTTTAAACTATCTTTGTACAGTAGCTCTGTGATTTTACCTGCGTATCACCAACAGAGATCATAAGATAGGCGGAGGTTAGAGTGTCTGTTCATTTGGGGATCGTTGTTTGAAGCGCTGGAAGCCTCTGTCTGTATCTCACGTGTATGTG